TATACCTGTCCTGATAGGACGTTTTATATAAAACGTCTTTTAAGTCTCACAGGTCCACTGATGGCCAGGATTTCTGCCTAGGGTGCACTGTGCCCTGAGTCCTGCCTTAGTCGTTTGGTTTAGAAGATGCAACTTGGGACAGTTTGAATTGATTAATTTATATATGTACACACATACATAGTATGTACAAAACGTGTGCATATTTAAAAATATATATCATGAGAGTTGATGCTGATATGGATTAATACCACGCTGGGGTGAGGTGAATGTATTTTGCATGTTGGGAAGGACATGGAATTTTTGGGGGGGGGCCCCAGATGGTGAACTGTTGGGCTGAATTAGGAACCCCCACAAATATAGGCTGTGACTATAACCGTATTTGGTGCCTGTCCTGGGCGGCACAAAGTCTTTGTTCTCGGCTGCTAACAAGGCTTGCTTTTGGAGGTCACGTGGCACCTGCGGATAAAGGCCGGGCAACCCCTTCGGCAGAGGTTACAGCCAAGGAAACCCCATGAAGCCCAGCGCGGTATCAATGGCTAATGGCTGTTTGGGGAAGGTTATCTTCTTCGGAACCAGGAATCTTTGCAGACGTAATCGAGTTAAGATGAGGTCGGACTGGCCCTACTCCAGTATGACTGGTGTCCGTACGCGACGAGAGGGATGCTGGGGCTGCCGCGTGACTGCCAAGGCCGACCGAGTGCTGCGTCTACAAGCCAAGGGCTGCTGGTGGTCAGCAGGCGCGGGGAGCAGGCCGCGCGGTGGCTCTCCGCCCCCGCCCCGCGCTCTGACCCCTTGATCCCAGACTTCCGGTCCGGCCTGCCGGCGCCCAGAAGCGCCCCATTGTGGCAGCCCGCGGTGGCAGCGCCGGGAGACCGACCGACAGCTCCACCGGCTCCACTCGCCTCCCCTCCGCGGGCGTCTACCCCGCGGCCAGGTAGCCCACCTCCCCCTCGGTGGGTGCCACGCTGTAGGTGCTCAGTAAACGCGTGTCTGCACAAGCCTCCCCGGGCGCCACCACCCCTTTCCCAAGGGTTCCCGCCTGGCTAGAAGGGGCGTCCCCACCGTGGGTCAGCGCAGG